TTGTTTGATACTTTGTTATTCTATCCAGTTGTAGTTCTGGAAATAAGATTTGAAGGAAATGATCCATGTGTATATCAGTTACAGACCTCCTGGAATTAGTCAGAAATGCTTTTTGAAAAAACAGTGGATTATTGAATACAGATTACATTTAAAAATAACAGAACCATTCACTGAAAGTGAAGTCTCTTGGCTGTTGTTTCCAGAACCAGAGATAGTGCCTCAGTTAATACTGTTTATAATTTTGTAAATAAACGGACTTGTTTGTATTCAAATACTCCAGTGTAAGTAGTAAATTATTTCTCTAAATCTAGTTAAATTTTATGCACATGAAAGTTGTATTACTTAACTGATAGGTTGTTCAGAGATGGACACTCATTAATAAAATGAGGTAATCTAATTTTTTTTTAGTTTGAAAGTTTACAGAACAAATTAGTTTTCATTCAACCGTTCATACATACTTTGTTTCATGCCATTGCATTGCAAACCTGATTGTACATCTGTGTCTTTCCTTTTGTAATATGCTCATCATTCCTTTTTATATATTGCTTTTCCTTTAACCCATATTAATAAGTGATATTTTACTAGTTAGTGATTTCGCCCCTACTTCCCCTCCTATCACCTGTAAACTTTTCTTTAGCTTTTTATGATTGGCATTAGGTGTTAGGTGTCAGATCTGAACCTTGTCTTATCCTCAGAATCTTTGCCATGCTTGAAACCACTATTACAGTCACAATGTCAGTCTCATTTAGAGCCTTCCTCTCTTTCTGAAACTACCTTTTCAGACATCTTTTTGCAAAGATGGTCCTTTCTGACAATATGCCTAAAATATGTAAGGTAAAGTTTCACCATCCTTACCTCTAAAGGAACGCCCTAGTTGACTATTGTAAATGGCATTGTTTTATTTCCTTTTCAGAGTTCTCTTTGTTCCTGTAGAAGAATCTGGCTGATTTTTTATACATTGATCTTGTACCTTGGCATTTTGCTAAATTGGTCAATTAGATCTAATAATTTTCTTTCTTAATTTTAAGGGATCATTAAGGAGAAATTCTGCTTTACCAACCTGTTGTGTACCTTCAAGTTGGAACCAACTCATAGCTTACCCTCTATCAAACTTAAGAGAGGCAGTAAATAACATAGAAGGAGTTGTCCATCTTTCTCCTGCAGAGCAGCTGGTGGATTTGAACTACAAGTTCAATGTGTTGTCTTACCACTTGGCCACCAGACCTTCATCCAGCCTGGATGCCTTATATTTACTTATCTTACCTTTTACTCTTGTGAGCACTACCAACACTAGAATGAATAGGAGTGGTGAAAAAGGTCATTCTTCCCTAGTTCTTTTTAAGAGGAATGCTTTCTTTCTCTGTCCATTTTAAGTAATGCTGGCTTTGAATATATACTTTTGAATTATATTGAATTCCACCTTTTTTCCTGCTTTATTAAGCATAATACCTACTTTCATTTAAACAGTCTCCCTAACAAATACTTGTTAGAAAAGTGGGTTAACTCAGCATATGATACTATAAAGAAAAACAACCCCCCTCTTAGACTGTCCTGTTACACACTTGATTAGTTCTTGTCATTCCTTCAGTTACTTAATTTAGGCATGTTGGTAGCTACTTTTTTTTTTCTTTGAACAACTTTATTGAGATATGATTGGCATAACATAAAACTAATTTTTAAAAAAATTTTTTAATGGTTTTTAATGAACATTTACAGAGATTGTGGATTTCCAGGTAACTACTTTGTAAAATTTCTTACAGTATCTTCTTTTTTGTCAAGGAATGCTGGATTCTGATTCTGGGTCCTTCCAAAGCCAGTAATCTACTTTGTTACTTTAGTATTTTATACTCTGAGCCTCTCAGTTGATTTTATAAACAGGGGCAATAGGCTTAGACACTGTGAGTATAATTTTATCTGTCTCTTTCTGCTTTGCTCAATACCTCCTTGTCATCCTTCCTGCCCCAAAGCCCAGGAAACACCCTAGATATCCTTAAATATGCTTTTCAGAAGCCGTTGTCCTCTCAAATCCAGAGACCCAGCTTTCTTCTCCAGGACCTGACTGGCTTTCCAGTTTTAGCAAGTTGAGTTACTCAAGGGAAGATAGACTTGAGAGTGTTTCTATAATCACCCAGATGCCAGCCCCATGAGCTTCAGCCATGTCTGGGGCCAACACTGATAGTCCTAAGTCGTCCCATAACACAAGCCAGTTCTAGCATTCCCAAGATTCGTCCGTAGGGATGCCACCTTGATAATACAGCTCATATTCCTTTGCACAAGCACTGTGAGCAAGACAGTAGCCAGGAAACAATGTTGTTATGTGCCATCAAGTCGTTTGTGACTCATAGTGACCCTATGCACAACAGCCCTAAACCCTGCTCTGTCCTGCGCCAACCGCACTGCCTCTGACACACCCATCCCGATTACCCCAGTCACCGAATCCATCTCATAGAGGGTCTTCCCCTCCTGTGCTGTCCCTCC